AAAAAAAGATCGTTTTCGGTTAATATCTATGGTTAATATTTACCTATTTACTCACATTCATACGGAAGAGGATTAGGGCCACACATAAAAAAATAGAGTTCTGACTTTATTCTCAGAATTCTTAGTTTAAAGTCAGAATTCTTAGTTTAAAGTCAGAATTCTTAGTTTAAAGTCAGAATTCCGAGTTTAAAGTCAGAATTCTTAGTTTAAAGTCAGAACTCTTAGTTTAAAGTCAGAATTCTTAGTTTAAAGTCAGAATTCTTAGTTTAAAGTCAGAATTCTGAGAATAAAGTCAGAATTCCGAGTTTAAAGTCAGAATTCTTAGTTTAAAGTCAGAATTCTTAGTTTAAAGTCAGAATCCCGAGAATAAAGTCAGAATTCTTAGTTTGAAGTCAGAATTCTTAGTTTAAAGTCAGAATCCCGAGAATAAAGTCAGAATTCTTAGTTTAAAGTCAGAATCCCGAGAATAAAGTCAGAATTCTTAGTTTAAAGTCAGAATCCCGAGAATAAAGTCAGAATTCTTAGTTTAAAGTCAGAATTCTTAGTTTAAAGTCAGAATTCTGAGAATAAAGTCAGAATTCTTAGTTATGGCAGAGATATAAGCATTTACTTTTTTGGCAACTTGCCAAAACGCTCAAAAAACTTAAAACGTACGCCGCGGCCACGCCCTTTGACGAAATAACATGCGGAGCACAACGACATATGCTGAACCTGTCTAGAACGCACTGACACTGAGTTTGTGCGGATCGGATGAGCGCCCTCGGGCAAGTGCGTTCAAATAGGAAGGCTGAAATCAGCGATTTTGAGCGATTTTGGACCTTTATCGTGAAATTCAACTTTAATTTGTGGACTTCCTGTCGAGTGTTTTGAAACGCCGCAAGAGGATTTTTAGTCCGTCCCGACAATATGTGTACCAATTTTCGTGAGTGTACGTGAAAAAAACCTTTATGGGGAGGCCATTTTGAAATTTTGAAGGGGGCGCCACTGAGCCATTTTGCGATTTCTTTATTTTTTTTTTTACGAAACCACCAAAATATCAAATTTTTCACGAGACCTGATGAGCTTGGAAAGTTTGGTGAGTTTTCAGGCACGTTCAGGCCCTCAAAAGTGCCCTCAAAGATGAGGAACAATAAAAAGAAGAAGAATAATTGCTAGGGTTTCAAGAGGGTCCTCGCACAGTTCGTGCTCGGGCCCTAATAATAACTTCCAGCCTACTGTATGTTGATAAAAGTGTAGCCTAACCAGTCATCAGCAGCCTCACCACGTTATACATCCCACATGAAGGGTTATGAGAAGGGTCTTTTTCACTCTGAAAAATGCTTACCCATTAAGAGCACTTTTTTAAGGTCTGCAGGTAAATAATCTAGAAAAGGTGACCAAGTCTTTACAAACAGCTCATCCTTCCATTTTAGAACAGCTTGTAATCATTCGTGAGGGAGGGTGTTGAAAATCTCCCTGTGCCAAAGCGTAATGCTGGGTGGGACATCTTTGATCCAATTGTGCAAGATGCACTTTCGCACGATTAAAATAAGCTTTTCAAGGAGATGCTAATATGATGCAGGGAGGCGCGATTCTCTAGAGGGAAGTCCTAGAAGGAACACACCTGGGTCTTTTTTTAACTTTTATTTTAAATATCCCGCTAATAATGTTTTATTTTTAAACAATTAAATGTTTTGTGATTATGAAATTGAAACTCTAAAACGTTTATTTTATGGACATGCACTAATGGAGATATGTCAGAGTGAGGGGCTGCTCCTGAGCTGTTGGGGTCCAGTGCTTTGCTCAATGGCACCGCGGCAGTGCTCAGGAAGTGACCTGTCACCTCTTCAGCTGCCAGATCAATTCAAGGCTTGGTTTTCACCAGAACTTGAACCAGTGACCCTCCGGTTCCCAACCCAAGTCCCACCCAATGTATAAATACAAATATATGGAGGTTCAAACATTATTCAGCAATGACATATCTTATTTTGGTTTTAAAAAATGAAAGTAAACAAAACAGTAAGTTCCTGTTTTACTTCATTTGATTTTGTAATGTCTTTGTCAAACTCAAATAATTAAGCCTCTCCTCAGCTGTACAGCTTGTAAACAGATTATTGAATTGACGTCATATTTCCCAGAGCTGGAAGTCACTTGACCAGAAGCAGCAGCACTGGTACACAGAGGGAAAATTCCAGCTCCCTTCATCAATGCATGTGCTGTGGTTTGCAAGACTATTAACTATTCTTTGTTGTACAATAAACTAATATTTAACGCACAGATACAGTACAGTGGGTCTAAATTTAAAAACAAAACAGATCAGTCATTGTTGATTTTTCTTTGTTTTATTGCTCAGCAGTAAAAAGTACAGTGTATACTACAGTACAAAAAAATACATCATATTGAACACTGCTCCACCGTGTCACTGAACGTTTTTGTAAAATATTCACTTTTGAGCGTGCAAAACAAGAAGCCCGGGCTGTGAGCATCCAATGCAGGAAATACCAATATTTTTTAACCTTGTTATCCAACATCCGCGATTTCAGAACAACATCTCACAATGCAAAACGTCTTCAGCAACGACAGAGGCAGGCAGGCAGCATTGATTACTGAATACAAAACTGCATGAATGAAATAAAACTGATGATAGAAGGACCACAGACGGCCCAAAAATCAAAGAAAAAAATCAAACATTTCTGATTAAACTGCCTCTGTATGTGCTCACAGTAAAGTATTCAGCATACATTATGGTTCTCTGACGGCCTCCAACACATATTCTGTTGTCCGGCGACTCACAATCATTCAACATTTCAACAAACACATTTTTTGCCTCGATGGACAAACAAGCTATTCATGGAGGGAGACATTTACAATAGCAAGGGTGGTCTAATTGTTTCCTACAGCGCTTAGAAATTCCTTCTCACACCGGGCAATCAGTAAACCACTCCACATGACACACAAGAGACAAACACACACACACTCACACACACAGAGGCACACACATTAACAGACAGAGAAACAGACCCAACTGAGCTGAAAATGATACAGAGTCTTGTTTGACTTTAAAACAGTGATATTTGGTTAAGGGGGTGGCACATTTAAACGTATCCATCCACACTTAACACGCACACACATGCACAAACAGGGCGCTCGGTCACACATACACTGATATAAAGGGCCAACACAAGGATTTAAGACATCTATGTGGTCCCTCTAAAGAGAAGCTGGTGACACATGAGGGGGGAAAGACTTTTTTTTAGAATATTGACCCAAACACAGCCGAAATATACTGCTCAAATTAACTGTTAATATCAGAGCCCTTATTTATCAAACCAAACCTTTGGACTTAAGAGTCTGTTAATCTTCCTCTCAAAGTTGAGAATAAAAGCTCAAATTCCTTATGACATCATAATGCTGTTAAATCTAGAAAAACTGCAGAGCTATCAGGGGCGTATCTGCGAGTTTGCAATTACTGCACTGGTCGGACTGGAAGTTAAATTCCCAGTGTAATATTATTTCTCTGAAGTACCTTATCCAGCAGCAGAATTTATCCACTGTTCTAGTTTGCACTAAATGATGCATCTTAAATTCAGCTTTAATGATTACCTTATTATTTCCTGTAATTTAATGTATTCATGTAATCATTATTTCTTAGGTGGATTAACATTTTTTTTTCTAAACTTCATATATGTAACCTTTCCAAAACAGCTCAGACATACACAGACAGGTTTATTTTGGTCACTAGGGGGCAGCAGAGAGGATTTGAGAATACACCAGTGACACATGCTCACATTTTAATTTGATATTTTTTGAATGAATCACCTTATGTTGAATAATCCTCCAAGATTTTTCAATCTGATTATTGTAGTAATAACAATTTATTATATTTATGTTTTGGTTGCTATAACAACTTTCAAGAGAAATATTTGACAATAGTTGCTGATGTTGCTTTATTATGCTTATTGGCAACGTTTCACTAGTTTTGCCTGATGAAGGTCTAGCATTGAGACATTGCCAATAAATGTTTGTTTGCAGATAAGGCAGTATGCGGGAGTTTACCTTTAAGTTTTTGAAGGACTCAGTGCTCTCCTGCACAACTGTCTTATGAAATGGATGTGCAAAGGTTTTTCCTATTTTGCTTTATTATGCTTAACAGATAGTCTCTAATTTTGTTTTTTTCTGCCATACTGATGTTCAATCCTTATTTTTCATCAATCTCTTTTCTCTGCTGCTGTGGACAAGAAGAGACATGAAGAGAGTAAAACAGATAAGGTGCTGCCACTCAGTTCACTGTTGAGTTAAACAAAACCACCAAAGATCTGTGTGAGGATATTAACAAAGGAGCACTGGTAGCTTAGTGATTAGATTGCACGCCCCATGTACAGTACGGAGGCCTCAATTGGGCAGCCCAGGTTCAAAATCCAACTCTCTCTCTCTTGCTCACTCCTGATTTTTGACTCTGTTGTCCTGTCTCCAAAATAAAAGCATAAAACCCCCTAAAAGTTAAGATCAATAAAGCTGTTATAAATGTCTGACTTCTGATCTTGTCTTGATCTATTCTCATGCTATCGTCTGATTTTTTTATCATCAGCTTTTGTTTTATTCACATGAATAATTGAGTCCAGAATTTGTCTGATCTCTGAAAACTGTGAATAAAACATGTTATTTTTAACATAATAATGTAACATGAATACATGTTATTTGAGCTAATTTCACATATATGTGCTACTGCAGTCCCAGTGAATAACTTGTAGGGGTTAGATAACAGAATGACCAAGCGGGCAGACATAGAGTCGAGCAAATCTGTGTCTTTGATTGGCTGTTTCCAAACCAAATGTCCAAAGACGAGTCAATTTAAAGAACTTTTTCTGGTGCCACATTTGTTCTTTAAAGCAGGAAGTGTTGTGTTCAGTCTGATAAACACGGGCCAGGATCTACAGTAACACTTTTATGTAACCAATCCCCCCCCCCCCCCCACCCATAGTACATAGGTGCTATATTCAAGTTCAACAGGCTATAATAACTATAAGAATTTTGGGATTTATTTTAAAGGAAAAAACAACATTACAAAGTACAGCTTTAATGTTTTCATCGCAGGATTCTCTCTCTAAAGCAGATTTTGTGTGGCGACAGCTCCAGTGCACTCACCATCAAGCCACTCTAACGAAACAAAAGCACATATACTCTGTATTTTTATAAAGACAATAAAAACCTTTTATCACAATTAAGCCTTTTGTAGAAAATGTACATCAGAAAAATATGTGGGTGCATTCTCATAGTAAATAATGTCTGTTTACATCGCTCTTCTTTCTGGTTTCTCTTTGTGTGTGTTTTTTTTTGTCATATACAGTATAAAGTCAAAGTCTCTGAATATTTACCACTTATATAAAATAGACGACAACAGCAGGGGGAGTAGGGGGGGGGGGTCAGTCTTTTTGCAGTCTCTAGATGGCAGACGCTTTGTCTCTGTTGATGAAGAGGGTCTCCTGGCAGAAAGGGTTAACAAGGACCATGCTGCTGCCGCTGTAGTCTCCGTTAGGGGGTAGACAGGTGTCATGCTCCTGCAAATGCACACAGAAAATAATTCAGTGCATGTATGAGTGTTAAAGAGTATAGCTGTGATTCATGATCGTTGCTCCAGGGCTCCCCATTAGTGCACGAACATTGCAGTCGATTGTATCTAAGTCACTCTACAGGCACTGAGCAAGAACTAGAGAGAGTCTATAAGAGCAGAATAAAATACGGGTTTGGTGCGGGAATCCTGGGGCTTTTAAGGAGACGGTGAACAAAGATATCTGACAGAGCTAGATGAGCAGAGATACAAAGGGGAAAGCGGAAGAGGAGATGTTAAAGCTGCACGAGCAGAGAGAAAAAGGGAGGGATGACTCAGAAGAAAAAAGAGGGATACAATGAAGGAGGGAGGGAGGAGGGGGGGTTGATGTGAAAATGGTTGCTGATGGTGAGTCAGCAGTAATAAGGCAGTGCTAGAGGAGGAGGGAGGTGTGAGAGGGAAAGTGATCTGTTTTTACAGCAGGAATCGGACCATGTTATTATCAGCAGGATCCAAATTGAAACTCCTGCTGTGATTTATGATCATTTCTCCCAGAGCGATGTCATTTACTGAAAGAGCCATGGGGAAGCTATGAGGCTGCTGCTCTACAGACACAGGTAAATCAAGGTAGGAAAACAACACCTGGGTGTCACCAGGGGCATCCCACACAGTATCCAACCTCATCTTCCCTCTCCTGACGCCCCCAACGGGCAGCAAAGGAGTGCAAAATGAAGCAACAGAGAATTAAAGAAAGGAGACGCACGGTGAAATGGTAACCGAAGAGAACATTAAAAACATGAAGACAGAACAAAGCAATGATCAATCCAAAATATATGAATGGAAGAGAGGAGTTAGACTAAGTACTAGACATTGCTGTCTGAATAAATGCCCACCAGATGGCGCTGTAGTGCATTAAATGGTCAGATTATAAACATATGAACTTAATCCCTATTTTGTCTGTTTTTTTGTTATAATAACAGAACTAAGATTATTTGAGATTTGCAGAACCCTCCTTTTTGTCTGAGGCAAAGGATCAACATAAAGACTGTGAATGAACATAATATTTAAATGTATCAATCTATGCACACTGTAAATATGTAAATACTGTTAAAACACTTCCTCGGGGAAATTACCCCATCCATCCGTTATCTATACTGCTTTCTGGTATTCAAACACAGGGCTGACATTTAGAGACATAAAATGTGTGTGTTTTTACTGCTCTAATATGTACTAAGTACAACAGTTTAGGTATTGGAATCAGGATCTTGAATGGTATGAGCACATCTCTAATCCAAATAGCATCTCTGTACATTGTAGTGTCAGGCTTAAGTACTTTAGTGTATTTCTGCAGGCCTCGTGGCTCGCTGACAGGGGAGATTGGACATGGATTCTCTTGTAGTTCCTATACTCATTTCCCCCATTCTGCTGACTGACTGTGAAACACAGCACAAACGTCCCTCCACCTCCGTGTGCAGTGCTGTACTCTAACAGAGTCAGTGTGTCAGTAGTTTGTACCTCGCTCTCCAGAGTGTGTATCTCTCTGGGCAGCTCCACGGCGTGCCTGCTGAAGTAGTCCATGGTGATGGCGTTGTTCCAGTAGCTGAGGTTGTTCTCCTGACTCGATGACTTCTTCTTCCTCCTCATGCAGCACACGGTCAAAAGAACAGCTAGAGCGGGCAGAGACAGGAAGGGGAAAATGAGGGTTAGCACAGAGGCTGGAGGAGCTGCTGCTTCAAATAACACCTCTGAAAGTGCCCACACTGATGCTCAGGGAGAAGCTGTCATGTTTCTCCACAGCGTACACTGCTGGAAGAGATTGTGGTTGAAAGGAAATACGGCTTGAATCTGCTACTGGTGGTGTACCTTGTTGTAACTTTGAGCTTTTCTAAGTAACAAAGCTTTAAGTCACTCAGAAACAAACTTTAAGGAAAATACAAGGCAGTTATTTATTATAGCAGAGCAAGAAATCCTTATTTCTCCATCTCCAACAGACCATTACACAAAAAAAATCAGTTTTGCCTAAGGAGCTCCACTTCTCGATGAAAGACACTTTGTCTCCCTGGCTACTAATATGCTATCGCTCTCTTGATTTTAATGCAACAGGATCCTGGCCTGAAGGCAGTCTGGAGGCTGTCAAAAGGCATTCCTGAAAAAATTAAGCAAGCGCTAACCAGGAAAGATGAAGAGAAGTGCGAGCATAATGAGAGTAAATTGTGACTTTTTATTTCAAAATAACTTTCTATTGACCCAGAGTAAAAGTTTCCCCAGGAGGTAGATGAGATAAATGACTCTTTTTTAGGACATAAAGCTACAGCTAACAGCCAATTAGCTTAGCATGAAAACTAGTGGCAAGGGAAATATTGAAGGTAACAAAATCAGCTAACAAGTTCTTCAAAAGCTGACTAACAAACTTCTGGGTGTCACCAGGGCTATTACTTACAACACGAGGACACAGTCACAGTGATGGCCAACACGATCCACACAACGTCCATCCTGCTCAGGCAGATTGTCAGGCGGGAGTCCACAGTCGGGCCTGAGCTGTTGCAAGGCATACAGGGGTCTTGGGTTGTGGCGGGAACCTGTCTGTTTAGGAAATTCCCACTGGCTGTGGAAGGGGACTCTGAGCTGTTCCCCTGAGCGGGCATCTCCTCAACTGAGCTGTCATTGGAGAACAGCCCACCATAAGTAGTTACATTCCCCAACCCGCGTCCCAGAGGGGCATTGTCTGTGGTGTTTCCTATTACAACTTGACCCTCCATCTTAGTGGTGGTCTCGTTGGGTGAAGTTTGGTTGTTTGGGGTGATTGTTGAATTCTTGATGCTGAGATCCAGGGCTGGTGTGGATGCAGTGGAAGTTAGATTCTCTGGTGGGCTATGGACTGGAGCCTCTGTCTCCACCACCAGCATGTCAGTGGGGCGCTCGTTCCCTGCATGCACCTCCCTCAGGGTGATTGCATGGTGTGCAGTACCCCCAGCGTGCTCCCTGAGATTCGGGCGTAGTATGGGGTCAGCATCATTTGCAGAAGAGGAAAAGGGTGACAGGGAGGATCTGGGAACATACTGACGACCGGGTACAGAAGGTGCGTCCAAGCTCAACCTCTGTGGTTCTACTTTGAGTGTGTCTCCTCTGTCTGATGCAGAGCTGGACATAAGAGGAAGGGGGTCTGGAGGCCCTCCAGAAGTAGATTTCACATTTAAGTTTGGAGCTGCTGTGCTGAGAAATTCTGGGATGCTGGTGCTGGCCTGGTTAGTGCTGACAGTTACTGGCCTTTGGACTTGAAGGGCTTTGACCAATTTGTGCATTTTGCCTTGGTTTACAATATCATAGCCAAGCTCCAGGGGCTGAACCACAAGACTGTCAGTGCTCACAGTGTTAGGGGTGACTATATTCGATTCATCAATGGGAGGATCAACATGAGCAGGACCAGAACTTTGGGTTGTGTGAAGCAAGGCCAAAGGTTGGACTATGGCAGTGGGGAGAATGATGCTTGATGATTGAGTGCCTCCTTTGGATGTCCATTCCCCACTACTGGAGCCTTCTTGATGCCAGTCCAAGGGGTCAGGTTTTGGGGCAGACAGGGGGCTGCTGTGGGTGACTGCCATGGAGACAGAGTCCTGGGATGTCTGTATGAAGTACAGCTCCTGTGCTGATGACACCAGTCCTACTGGCAGTGCTAGGAATGCTAGAACACCTGCGGACAAAGAGACAGGAATCTGATGATTAGCTCATAATAACATCACATCCTATTTTCAGCTTATCTGTCGGCTTTTATCAATTCTTTCAAGGCTCTTGCTACTCATAGCTCAGAGAGAAAGTGTAAACCCTGCAGCTGAACGTTTGATGTGCAGCCTTGTCTTGCATTCATTATGCTATTAGCCTTTAATCTACTAAACTGCTGTGTTTGTCACTCACAGTTTAACTTAGTGAGTGCTTTATTAACTGAATAATTCACTAGACAAGGTTCCACTGTGTGTTTCTGTGCATGTGTAAGGTCGCCATTAGGACTTAAGAGGATCCTTTTCTTTAAACGCAGGGTACAAACAAACCTGCAGAAATGCTTAAAAAGCCCAAACAACAATTTCAAGTAACACTAAAGATAGGTAGTTACGTGAAAAAAACTTCTATATTACTTTGAATTGGTGTCATTATTATAAACAGCCAAGGAAGTCAAAATGATGTGAGGAGAAATAATAAATGCATTATCTGAAACAAATTATGAATTAAAAAATGAATTTGCACCATTAAAATTAGTCTCCATTCATGCTTACTACAGCACAAAACACCTTGTAAAGATACTTTCACAGTTGTAGCATCAAAACGGCCAACTTTGCATGCTAAAACAGTATCACAAACCCTGACAGAGTCACTTTCTGGAGATCAATCCCATAAGGAGTCTGTGTAGTGACAAGTCATTAGCAGTTGCCTGTAGGGAATATTGGTCCTATTATGTTATGCAGACAGCAAGACACTCATGGAGGGAGCAACTTGCAAAGGCTTATTAATTTCCACTTTGCTCCCTCCCTTCCTGTATTGACAATGTTAAACACAGCTGAAGTGATGTGTTAGCAGCGCTCCCAGTGGGGTGTTCCTATGTGTTCAGCTGAGAACAGAACATACTTAATTTAAGGCAGAATGAGGTTGTGTTTCATGTTTTTGCTGCAGGACGCTAAGCTGTAGACAGGGATTGGGAAAAACAGGATTCGAGGTCAATTTGAAATACTTTTTTGCCCCCAGTTTACTGAACCAATAGTGTTTAAGTTTCTTGGAAGATAGTGGTTACTTAATGGTTACTTAATGGTTACTTCATGATTACTTAGTGGTTACCTAGTAGATACTTAGTGGTTACTTAATGGTTACTTAGTGGTTAGTGGTTACTTAATGGCTACTTAGTGGTTACTTAGTGGCTACTTAGTGGTTACCTAGTACTTACTTAATGGTTACTTAGTGGTTACTTAATGGTTACTTCATGGTTACTTAGTGGTTACCTAGTGGTTACCTAGTGGTTACTTAATGGTTACTTAGTGGTTACTTAATGGTTACTTAGTGGTTAGTGGTTACTTAATGGCTACTTAGTGGTTACTTAATGGTTACTTAGTGGTTAGTGGTTACTTAGTGGCTACTTAGTGGTTACCTAGTACTTACTTAATGGTTACTTAGTGGTTACTTAATGGTTACTTAGTGGTTACTTAATGGTTACTTAGTGGTTACCTAGTGGTTACTTAATGGTTACTTAATGGTTACTTAATGGTCACTTAATGGTTACTTAGTGGCTACTTAGTGGTTATCTAGTGGTTACTTAATGGTTACTTAGTGGTGACCTAGTGGTTACTTAATGGTTACTTAATGGTTACTTAGTGGTTACTTAATGGTTACATAGTGGTTACTTAGTGGTTACTTAATGGTAACTTAGTGGTAACTTAGTGGTTGCCTAGGGGTTACTTAATGGTTACTTAGTGGTTACTTAATGGTTACTTAATGGTTACATAGTCGTTACTTTGTGGTTACTTCATGGTTACTTAGTGGTTAATTTATAAATCCCAGTCTAAAGCCACCAATGTGTCCTATAGGCTGTGGCCATCATTTAAATGTGTTTCTTTGGCCAGTTCATATTTCCATGATAGATAGAGGAGAAGAAGAGGGGGGAAAAAAGCACTGAATGTGTAGAAAAGGGGGTAGAAAAGGCCGGCGTAATTAATTAAAAAAACCTACCAGCCCACGTAACAGTCAATGACTAATCTCAAATTTCTTTGCCATATATTTCCCCCCTCCTCTTTTCTTTTTATTCACCCGAGGATTTAAAATACACCACAGCAGAGCAGAACAAACGTAGCGCACTATTTAAACTCAGCCTCTGAATCATTAATCATACTCCACCATACTCAGTCACACAGACGACCAGGAAAGAGGGTCCAGACCCTGTCTTCCATTAACCAAGCCTGTCACGTCTCTAATCCACAGAGCCCACTTCAGACCTGAATCTGAGGAGATAACACACATGGCCATCTTTGATTTATGACCGCTCGTCTTTCCTGAGATGATCCTCTTGGCAGAATAATGGAACACAGACAAACCCTAACCTATAAAAGCTAAAAGTATTAGTACTATTGTTGATCATTGGCAATATGAACGGTGGTCCCATTGGGGGGACATTGAGAGGAAACAGCCCTTTGAAATGTGCACAACACGACAAGAAATGATCAACACTGAAGAAAGTGAATGATTAAAACCACAAAAAGAAAGAGAAAAAAAGTAATATCTGAATAATAAATAAAAGCATTTTGACGACAAAATCGGAAAGGTAAGTAAGTAGTATGAAACAAAGAAGCCAATTAAAAGCAATAATGTTAACAGTTCTGTGAACTGGGTAAAGTCAAAACCTTCAATCAGTACCAATCCCTGGCTCCCCAAACCCAGCAACCCGACGCTCTGCTACCAATGAATAAAACATGATACACCCAGACTCCTTTTCAGGACAAAGTTGTATCAGAAACGTGCAAACTAAATGGTTTGGCACAGGCACACATTAACAGAGGGCACAATCTTCTGATTTATCAGGATCACAAACATTGGTCTCAACCTCATCTCTAACCAACATGGAGATACATATTATTTTGTGAAATTGCAGTGTACTTATAGTCAAATAATTTTTTATTGAAGACCGCATCTAATATGTAAAAGGGGAGAATTTGCCTTTTAAATAAGCTTGCTCTCGTACCTGACATCCCTAATAATCATTACATGGTGAGTATAACACTAGCTTTTAGTTTTTCAGACGCTCAGTTGAGTACTGAGTCAGAGCCTTCTTGTTTGACTTTAGTTAGTCACATTTATCTCCTTATTAAGGGTCATTATAAAAAAGCAAAACACAATATTGGATGAGCTGCTTATGAGCAGAAGATAACAGCTATGAGAAAATGATTATAGTGTCCCGACAACATGAACCCTAAAAGAAAAGGTTAGGTTAGCGTCTTGCATAATATCTTCTGGGGAAGAAAAAATTTATTCAAGTAAAACGGCTCCCACTAAAGCTCTAGGTGGTTTTGGTGTTTTGTCTGGATGAATGTGTCTGTTATCATCATATGACGTTTCATTGTGGGATTATTATTTAAAAATATATATATATGTATATCACAAACTGTCTGTGGAAATCTCTGAAGCAACATTCATTTCCATAGCCTACATTGTGAGGTCTAAAATATATCCAGAATGAGAGAAGGCAGTAAAAGCAGTTAATTTGCATGCTAACGCTAGGTACATAGAGGAACATTAGCTGTGAGAGAGCATATACTTAAAATTTTACATCTGTCATCTCTGTCAGATGTAGCGCCAACTTTGTGTTGCATAACTAGCATTTCTCTTTGGAAAATGAGGAATGTAAATTAGCTTGTTGTCTAGCTAGCAAGTTAGAGCAGGGTCATCCTTATTATCTATCTTCCTCTATATTTCCAGTAGCCTACACTATTAGAAGTCGGAAAGGATTTATGTGCTCAGTTTAAACTGTAAAAGTTTGATGTCGGATTGGAGCGTAGCTTTTGGAAACACACATCTAAAGGCAGGAAAACTACCTAATTGTCCAAATGTTTGAGGGCTTAAGTTTCAAGAGAGATAACAGCACAGGCCTATACTATGGAGGTGGATGACTAAGATACTCTATGGAAAATAATAATGCTCATAAGAACACTAAAATCTTTTAAAGGGTTTCTGGAGCGACGCTTAACATGTTTAACATCCTTTTCTGAATTGGAAACAGATTAGTAGTTCTTTGCGTGTAGATATTTTTCAGTGGCCATTAGAGGGGAAAATCTGTGTGTATTCGGTTTGCTTTCATGTCCTTGTAAGATAATAATTAATGTGACATAGAGACATGTCAAGCCTCTTTATTATTCCCTTAAAGCACTAAGCTATCATGACATTGTTGCAGCATGTTTTCCGCCCTGTCTATTTTGACCTATTCAGTGTAAATTCTCAATTTATGTGTGTGCATGAGTTACATGAGCATCCATGTGTGCACTGTGTTTGTCTCCAAGGCAAATGGATGTAATTTGTCTCATCGGTTGGGCGTCTGGCTGATGGAGTGAGAGCGTTAGCAGGGGGAACACAGACAGAGAGCCAAGCCCTGCTTCCACTAAGACGTGCAGTGAAGAAGCCAGCACAGAGAGTGAATTAACCAGAGAAATGATTGAAAAGGCCTGAGAAGTGAATTGAGCTTTATGAACATCCATTATTGAGTTGAAGCAACGGGAAGAACATGAGAAAATTGGATGGAAAAGGGGAAGAATAGTGAGGTTGGACAGGGTGGGAAAGTGTGAGGAGGAGGGCAAAGGTGTAGTGAGAGTAAGGGAGGAAGATGGGAAGGTGTTTCATCAGCGATAAGACATGGACAAAATGAAAAGGTGGGATTAGAAACATGAGACCAAGGTTCAAAAAGAGGAATTTAAAGGAAAAAAACCTTTATTTAAACATTTGTCTTGCTTAGAAACACTTGTCTACTCAGCAATATTTTTGTGTCTGTTTGCTGTTTTTGATATATTCTCACATGCACATAACACGAATAAAAAAGGATCTGTCCAGTTTTATGAAGCAAGGGAGAAAAATCTGAACCTTTGATCACAAGGAGACAAAAAGCAGAGTTTAAGAGTAAAAATGTAATGCTCTTGAAATTTTTCCCCTGTCGTATATGCTTTAACGGAC